TTCAGATTTTTCCTAGTAAGACAAAGAATTTTTTTATGTTTGTACACTCAAAATAGATAATGAGTGAATGAGAAAATTGATTCTCAAAGTTAACACATTTGCGTTAAAAATTGAGAGTGGAAATGCTTTGAAAAATCACTTGTCACATATTGGTTTGGGGGTGGATTTGCACCACTAAATATACAAGGCCCTTTTAGAAGGACTTTGGATTGTTAAAGCATAGAGGCTCTTTAAAATTGATAATGAGTGAATAAGAAATTGATTCTCAAAGTTGACATATTTGAGTTGAAAAATGAAGGTGGAAAAACTTTGAAACAATTTTTGTTTTTCTCTCTTTCATTCTCAAAATCTTTTTTTACGGAAAGCTCTGCCAACACTTCCGAAAAAGTCTAAGTGCTTTCCTTATAGTTATAGTTCGCCGGGCTTACTTGTTTTGTTTGAGTGCTCAAACATTTCCATTTTATCTTGGAAGACTGACGCTACAATGCTCTTAGCACCATCGGGGGGGTAGCGAATCGATTTTAAGAAAAGTGTGTGGTACACACGACTTGGATATTCCTTTCTTTCATTTGGGTTTATAATCTCATATTTAAAAACTCTCTTTTCGCTTTATTTATTTGATTCCCTTAAATATATATATATATATAAATAAATTCAATCTTTGGGTTTCTGGTTGGAATTAATTTTTCTAAATTAAATTCCCTTCCTTTGTAATATATATATATATATATATATATATATATATATATATATATATTATTACAAAGGAAGCGGATACCTAAACTACACCTCCATCGAGGCTCAAACCCAACAACTCCCACACATTAGGGAACAACGTGATACCAATGGACCACAAGACCCTTAACCTCAACCGAATTAATAAATGAGATTAAATTATATTTTTCACCTAAAAAAACTTTCGCATATGATCCCTTATATATATATATATATATATATATATATATATATATATATATATATATATATATATATATATATATATATATATATATATATATATATATATGTTTTGTCGGCTTATTCTACACCTAAGACCAAAAAGAGATGATTTGATAAAAAATGACTAAAATTATACTATCATCTATAAATATATGACTAAAAATGGAATTAACTCCTCCTGAAAATATTAATGTATTATTAATTAATCTCTTCACAAATAAAAACATAAAGCTTGAGAAATATTTTATAAAAATATTGTCCAATGGCTATTTTAATTTGTAAATGCACTATTATCACAATTAGTAATGAGTTTTTATATCCTCTAATTTATGAGAAATCTCACAATCACTCGAGATGAACAAAGTCTTGTGACAAGTTTTTATATCATAGCAAATGACATTGTCGGTGGAGTAGTGGACCACTACTGGTTTTATTTTTGTTTTGGTGGACCACTACTGTTGATTATTGTCGTATGATATGCCTCATTGTCTTAAGATTCCCATGGAATCCCGCCTCTTGGCGGCTCTTGCAGCACAACAGGGTCACATGTTTTTTTTTTTTTTTTTTTTTTTTTTTTTTTGTTAAGTGGGCGTTTGGTAAATAGTTATTAATTGATTAGGTTAGTAAGTTTGACTAGTTAATAACATTAGTTTTGTAGAAAAGTGTTTGGTAAATTTATTGTTAGTTAATTGCTAATTACATGCAAATAACTTTTCTAAAAAAATTGATTGAAAAAAAGCTACTTTGAGCAACTTTTGAATTTTAGCGTTTTAGAGTAATAAGTTGTTACAAAAAGCTAATTAATCAAACACTTATATTAGTTTTTTAACCAAATCAAATAACTAATAGTGATTAAATAAGTCAAAATTGACTGATAAACTAACTATATTAGCAAACGGGCCGAGGCCTTTACCTTTTAACATAATTAAACGGTTTTAATTAATTAATTAATTTATTATTATTTTTATTTTGTTTTCAAACCATTTAATACAGATTATACAACAAGAACATATACTCTTTAAAGTTCTAGGTATTATTAATTTGTTATTTATTCTTTATGAAAGATGATAAATGTATTATTATAAAATAAAACTTCTATTACATGTTTTTATTTTATTGAAAAAAAAAAAAGAGCAATAGAAAAATTGTGATTTGCTTTTTGTTTTGAATCACTCACGTCAGTAAAAACTAAAAACTAAAAAATAAAAAACAAGTAAAAAGTGAAATTAAATAAGTTTACTCTTTTTTTTTTTTTTTTTTAAATTTATTAACATAGTGTATGTGTTACATTTTTCATTATGTCACCATTAAGTGGTGCAAGTTAATAGGTCATTTGTGACCATAATGTTATGGTTTGAAATGGAAGTAACGGTTTCCGTTAACCTATAATGATAACACGTATGTTATATATATGTATGGTCCTCTCACTGCTCAAATGGGGCATCTTATTGATCTTTTAAATGATCACTCTCACTGATCAGACCATTACTCTTACTTTTAAATTTATTCTTGAGCATAAATGATATACCCACTAATTATCAGCAAGTCCAACTAATCTAACAAGGATTATAATTCCCCACCATAGTTGGACATGCTAAATATGTACATGTAACCAGGGCCGTTCCAATAAAAATTGGGATCCTGTGCAATATTTTTATTTGGGCCCCTTTTTTAAAGTAATTTTTAGTTTATATGTTGGTTTCACTTTATATTACCTTTTTCAAATTCTTAAATAATTCTTGAGTGCTATAAATTGTGGTGTAGTGTGTTGGTTCAAGGATCATCTTTGTGACATAAGTGAGGTGAAAAGGAAAAAAATATTTTAAAAAGATAAATGAGATTGTTTTATTTATTTCATTTGAAATAATTCAGAGATTCTACTCCACTGAATCAGCCACCTATACACATGTATAATAAATAAATCAATAAGTGTTGTGGTGTGGTTTATGAGTACACACAAAATTGAAAACCCAAACAAGTCTGGCGTAAAATGGCGAGGTTTTTGGGAAAGTTCTCTTCGAAAAAAGTCAAAATAGAAAAATAATGAGTGAACTTTGAAAGAGACGAGCATTTGCAGTTTAATTTTAATAAATGACTCGATCCTTGTTTCCGTCATGTTTTGCACCTGCACTATGATAGAATGTTTTCGAATTTGGTTTAGGTTATATTTTGTGAAAATTTCATATTATTCTATTTGTGAAAATTTCATATTATTCTATTGAGTTTTTGTATAGTTCATATAAGGGGTGTCAGCACACGAGCACAATTTATATTTATTTTAGTTGTTAAAGTTTATAATTTCTAGTCAACTGTTTTATGCACTCTTTGATTTGACACTAACCTTGCATTGAGGTAAATAAATTTGAAAAGGCTACTCGGGTAAAGCTCAGTTTAATGTTTGGTATCTTTTTTTTAATTTCTTTTGTTTTTTGTTAATAATGCCTTTGCTTGAGGACAAGCAAATAAATAAGTGTGGGGAATTTGATAAACATTATTTTTAGTGTTATTTTAAATAATCTTTTTATAGTTAATTTGTAATAATTGATTAATTTTTATCTATTTTTATTTATTATTGCTATAAGTTGTTTTTATTAATATTGTTTAAATTTAGGTTGTTTTAATTACTAAATTTATTTTATTATTTGAATTTTGTCAGTCCAATAATTCCTTCATAATAATAATAATAATAATAATAATAATAATAATAATAATAATAATAATAACAACAACAACAGTAGTTTAGTTATACTTGATTAGCAGGAGTTTAATAATTGTTAGATTAGTTATATATGGACTCTACTTTATATGAGCTTTTAATTGTAATTTATTTAAGTTATTCAATGAAAGATAAAAGATTTAGTCTGGTCTTGGTCGATTTGTGCGGCATACGAAGTCCCAGATTGTCCGGTCAATACCATCGCGAGAAAGGAGATCGTCCAGAGGCCATGGCGAGCGCATTTTAGGGCATTCAAACGGCTCTCTGATCTGAAGCTATATAAATAGAAGATATTGCGGTTGAGGGGATGATCAGTTCACTCCGGACCAATTCCGGAGGCGGTGCACAGATTTTTGATCAGCGACCGAGTTCTGGGTGATGCGATTTTCAGTTTTGGCAGCGCATATTTTCTATTCAGCGGCTTCACAATGTGACAGCAAAATCGTCTGGTTCTCTTAATTTTCCTTTCTTAATTTTCTTTGTCGTATTTGCTAGGCTGGAGTTTGTAATCCAATCCCTTTAATCTCAATTCTGTTGAAACTACAATTCTTCACCTCTTTAATCTTTTAATTTATTAATTTATTGTGTTTCCTCAACCTCTTTCTTTCTTTTTATTTGTTAATTTATTTTGTGTTTTACATTAGGAAGATTATGTTTTTTGATTTAACTATTGCTATTTACATTATGCATTGTTAATTTCGTGTATTTGGAAGCATGATGAATTTACGGTGAACATTCTATATTAATTGCTTAATTTTACCAATTGAATTAAGTTCTATCTTTTGATTTATAAAACTAATTGTGTTGAAATCTGGCCAACTTTATTTATGTTCTTAAGCTTTTTTCGTTCTGATTATTATTTGTTATTTTGATTCTTATTGAATTACTCAATTAGCTTTCTAAATTTCAATTATTTTGCAATTGATTCTTAATTAGCTTTGAACCTTAAAATTATTTAATTAGTTATTTTAATTTATTCAATCTCTGGCTAATTCATTTTGAGGTTATTCAATTATTGTTCTTGTCGTTATTTTCTACTGGTGATTTAATTTAGTTAATCCATTCTGATTATCAATTATGTTTCCTTGACTTCAGATTATTATTAAGTGTTCTCAATTCAATTTAATTTCACTGCAATTCAAACTTTATTTTCTTTCTTTCCACTCTTTTAAGTAATTAAATTGCATTGTAACAATTCTCTGTGGGATCGACCCTTGCTTTTGCACCTTATTACTACACTGACTCGTGCACTTGCGAGGACATTATATTTAAAATTGTCCATCAGTAGGGGTGGGGATAACAGATATTTCTTTAACTCCTCGAACTATGCTTGACATTCAGGGGTCCATTCGAACCCCTCTCTTCTTTTGATCACTTCGAAGAATGGTAGAGAGCGCTCTGCCGATTTGGAGAGGAAACGGCTAAGGGCTGCCAGTCGTCCCGTCAGTTTTTGGATTTCCAGTAGGTTGGTGGGCGGTTGCATATCCAGTATGGCTTTTATTTTCTCGGGGTTTGGTTCTATCCCTCTCTGTGTGACCATGTATCCTAGGAATTTTCCCCCACGGACAGCGAATGCACATTTCTTTGGATTCAATCTCAGCTTGTATCTTTCCATGAGTTGGAAGCATGCTCTAAGGTCTCGAGAGTGCTCGGGGGCTTCTTTGCTTTTTACCAACAGGTCTTCGACATAAGCCTCCATGCTTTTCCCAAGCAAGCTGTGAAATATTTTGGAGACCATCCTTGTAAATGTTGCTCCCACATTTTTCAGGCCGAACGGCATCACCTTATAGCAATAGACTCCATCAGGTGTCAGGAATGCAGTTTTTTCTTCGTCATGCTCTTCCATAAATATTTGGTGATAGCCCCGAAAGGCGTCCATGAAGCTAAGTAGTGCGCAACCGGCAGTTTGGTCTACCAGTTGGTCTATTCGTGGTAAGGGGAAGGGATCCTTAGGACACGCCTTGTTGAGGTCAGTATAATCGACACACATTCTCCATGCTGGGGGCTTGGGTACTAGCACAACGTTAGCCACCCAAGCGGGATAGGTGACTTCTCTGAGGTGTCCGATCTCTAGTAGGGTGGAAACTTCTTTTTTTACGAATTCTCTTCGGTCTGCTGCTAGGTGCCTCTTCCGTTGCATGACTGGTCGAGTGGCCGGATTGACAGATAAGCGGTGGGTGATGACCGACCGGTCAATTCCGGGCATGTCTTCGGGTCCCCAAGCGAATAGGATTTTGTACTCTTTCAGTGTCTGTAAGATACTCAGTCGGACCTCTTCTGTTAATCCTTTGCCTATCTTGATCGTTCTATCTGGTCTGGAGTCATCCAAAGCTACTTCTTCTAAATCGGCTGCGGGTTCCGGCCTTTCCTTAATCTCCTCTCCTTTGGTTTTCTCGGTGATAGTTTGGACCTGCAGGTCGTGTTTCCCAATTTGTCGGCAAGAGAGGAGGTAGCATGATCGGGCCACATGGCGATCGCATTTAGCGATCCCCACTCCTTCTGGTGTTCGGAATTTTAAGCACAGATGCTCGAGCGACACCACATCCCCCAGGTCCTCTAAACCTGGACGCCCTAGAATTACGTTGTGCGCGGAATTGATGTTAACAACCACGAACTCCATGTCTAGGGAACGGACCCTTGGGTATTCTCCTATTTCCACGGACAAGGTGAGGCACCCCTCAGCCTCTACGCTATCTCCGGTGAACCCAGCAAGTGGCGTCCGCACTAGGTGTAGTTGTTCTCGGGACAGTCCCAGCTTGTTAAATGTCTCGAGGTACATGACATTGACACTGCTGCCAGTGTCTACAAATACTCTCCGGACGATGGTCCCATTGATGTCCACGGTGATGACAAGGGCATCGCGGTGTGGCGTTGGGCCGTCCGGGAGGTCTTCATCAGAGAAGGTGATGACGTCCCTCCGGCCTTTCTTGATGGGGGGTCTATGTTGCACTGCGCCTACATATAATTGTCTAGCCCAACGTTTCCTCTCGCGAGAGCTGTCTCCAACCGCAGGCCCGCCACAAATCATGTGGATCACACGCTTGTGTTTCCAGTTTCGATCGTCTTGCTCTTCTGGATTCCCCTCTTGTTGGTTGGGTGTTTTCTGTTGGGGCCTATCCCTAAGTTCGCCGGGAGGGTTCCAGGCTGGTGCCCATGGAAGTTTTCGCCATTGGTTGGGGCGAGTAGTCGATTGTCTTTTCTGGATAAGCTCCTCGATTTCTTTTTGCAGGGTAGTACATTCTTCGGTAGAATGTCCCGTGGACCTGTGATATCGGCAGTATCTGGCTCTTCCCGCGGCCGGCCGTTCCTCCGCCTTTGTGGTTGGTGGCGGTAGGTTCTCTGTAGGTCGGGGTGGTTGGACCTCGTGCACGTGCCTTGCCCCGAGGGTGGGGACTGCTCTGTGTCGAGGGGGAGGTGGCCCCCGGATGACGTTAGATCTTTCTTCCCGTTTAGACGGTCGGTCCGAGAGACGCGTTCTCGTCTCGTCACGGGGTCGTTTCGCTTCTCGCCTTATTTTTTGTTGCAAAGCTTCTTCTGTTTCCGCGTATTTGTTGGCCCTATGGACGGCCTGTGCATACGTGTCGGGGGTCTCCCTTCGTAGACTAGTGAACAGATCCCCTGACCGGAGGGCTTCCATGAATAAAGTGAGGGCCGTTCGGTCGTCCAGATCTTCTACAGCCTGTACTTCCTTCTGCCATCTTTTTAGGAACTCTTTTAGTGTCTCAGTTTCTCCTTGTTGTATGGCAGTCAGGGTCATGAAGTGCTTCTTTGTTTTCATGCTTCCTGCGAAGTAGGTTAGGAATTGTTCGGCTAGGGTTTCGAAGCGATCGATGGACCCTGGTGTTAGAGATAGGAACCAACGCTGCGCTGCCCCGCCCAGCGTTGAGAAAAAGGCGCGATAGTACATGGGGTCCTCCGCCCCTATTACCATCATCTTTGCCTGGAAACCGACTAAGTGATCGCTGGGGTCCCCTGTTCCATCGTAAGTAGGCATTGTCGGACACTTGAAGTCTCTTGGCGCGCGATATTCTTGGATTTTCATAGAGAATGGACTGGCAGACAAGAGAGATCGAGCGGTTGGTCGATCTCCCCTACCCTCAACCTTCCTTTGGAGGTCTCTCACCTCCCTGGCGAGTTCTGCCATCTCTCGATCTCGATTCCCCTGACCAAGTTCTGGAGTCTCTCCGCTACCCTCCATCATGTCTTGCAGAATTCTTCTTCGATCGGGATCCCCTTCCCTTGCCCCTCCCGTGTGAGGACCGGTTGCCTGGGTGACCTCCGCCCCTCGCTGGGGGTTGAGCCTGACTCTTTGTTGCGGGCTTTCTACCGGGGGGTTTCCGAGTTCAGGCTGTGGAGCGGTTTCCCGTTGGTTCAGGGGCCCTAAGCGGTCTAGGACGGAGATTGCACGACGGGGTCCCTGGGGTGGAGCCAATCTCTGTGTTCTTTCAGGGGGCAAGTTCGTGTTGGGCAGTCGGCCGCCGGCGATCTGGGTGGTATAGTTTATCCGGGAGGGTTCTGGGGATCCTGCCCTTGCAGCCTGGCCATGATGTAGGGCCGCTAAGTAGTGTGCGGCGGCCTCTACTATCTCGGGGGTGAGTTCCACTGGCTGGATCCGTGGGACACCAACGGCCGATGGGCGTGCGTTCGAACGAACCTCTTCCTCTTCTCGGTGACCTCCCCGGTCGGCCTCCCTCTCCAGGGAAATATGCTGATCGTTCGGTACCTGCGAGGGGGGGGGGGGGCTGAGGGTTTCTCTCAAATCTCTGACTGGTCTAGTGACTGCCTGGTTAGTTCGAGTATTTCGTCGTGTAGTTACCATGCTTTCAGGGTTTTGAGGAACGAACGATAACTTTTCGTATCGATCCCCACGGACGGCGCCAATGTTGGTTTTATGACTTTTGGGCAGTCAACGGCAGGCCAACACTACCGTTAGAGTAACGAGGATATAGGAAAATATAGGAGAAATATATGGCGGAAATATAGGAATGTTGTATTGATGAGTATTGCTCGTGAATTGCTGAGAGAGTTGTCCCCCTCTCCTCTGTGCGAGAGGTCTATTTATACATATTTTGGGCCTTGAGCCCTACAAGGAATAAGAATTCTAGACTACCTCATATTGGGAGTCTTAATTACATAATAAAACCTAGTTCTATTATACTAGAAATAATGAGTCCAATTATAATTATATTGAGAATAATAAGCCCAATCCTTAACAAATTCTTGGGTTGCTTTGTGTCGTGTCTTTCTTGGGCTTCCTTGATCTAGTTGATTTCTTGGGCCGGTCCGTGTGGGTCCAGGCCTAGTATGCTATCCATCAAGTGGGTATATCATTTATGCTCAAGAATAACTTTAAGAGTATGAGTAATGGTTTGATTAGTGGGAGTGATCATTTAAAAGATCAATAAGATGCCCCATTTGATTAGTGGGAATGATCATTTGGAAAGATCATTAAAGATGTCCCACTTCAAGATTGCTCCACTTCAAGGATAAGACACATTGCCTTGTTATTATAAAATCAATAATTCAATTTGTTTAACTACAAGTTGTGCAACATATTTCTGAAAAGGTTGTATTAATAGTTTTTTATTATAACAATGGCATTAAGTTTATGGTGAACTATCACGAGTTAGATTCTTTAGCATTTATTGGAGTCTTTCGTCTCATCAAATTGATCCTGGGCCATTAAGATTTAAAAGGTTCAAGATTCAATGTTGAGAGACACAAAGCATGCGAAGACTCATGATGTTGGTTCATATAGATGAATCTTGAGGACTTTTTTGATACAATATTTTGTTATTTCACAAAATTACATTAAAAAGTCCTCGTTATTGCTCTATGGCATGATTGCATGAAAGTTGGGCTTCCCTTTTGTTTTGGAGATTATTTATAAGGTGTATGTTTAAAGTTCTGTTTGTGTGCTTAGACTCAAGAATTTGTTATCTAAGTCGTTGGAATATAGACTACTCAATTACTGTCGTTTGCTAAGATTAATGAGAGTAGGAGTGATAGACGTGTCGACTCTGAAAACTTAGCTTTCAACGATAGTATTAAAGATAATGAGTTAGTCATGAAACATATTAGCATTATGCTAATAGTTGTGGATCCTACTTAAGGCATGCTTATAAAAATTTTTGGGATCATACGGGGTACATGGAACTTATTATGTGACTATATTGTACGTACATTTATTTTGTCACTTCTATGTAATAATTTGGATGGTTTCTCATATGGTTATGCGCATATTTATTTGAGAAACATCCCTAAGGTTGGACCAAGAATAAACGTAGGGTTTATTCATAAAGGACCTGAGTTGGGAATCAAAATGCATGTGATGCATAGATGGTATTACTCACACTTTAATTTAGAGGACATACCACTATGATTCATGTTTTTTTTATCTTCAACAAAGGTTGTGCCAATACTTGCATCAAGTGGAAAATTGTAACATTTTCCATTAATATTTGTACAAATGAAGTTGTGCAAGTTTATTATGCCAAATTTAGCCATTGCGGCAATAATTAGTTTTTGATAACTAATTATAATCAAGAATTAACATAAAGTTTATTCATTAAGTTTTATACCACATAAGGTACTTAGAGAATAAGTTACATTGTAATCATAAGTGGATACTACTCTAAATTAAGAGGAACTATCTCTATGGTTCATGTTTTTTGCTTCTTTGAGTTAATACTTGCACCAAGTGGGAGAATGTAACATTTTCCATTATGTCACCATTAAGTGGTGCAAGTTTATAGGCCATTTATGGCCATAATGTTGGAAGTAACGGTTTCCGTTACTTAACCTATAATGATGGCACGTAGGTTATATATATGTATGGTCCTCCCACTGCTCCTGTGACTTTGAGACTACACCATCTAGTTGAACAGGAGACCAAGTGGTAGACAAAACACCAGGGTTCCTTACGATTCTTGAAGCAATGCTACAGAGATGATAACTATGGCTGGAGGTGCTTGATACTATGCTTCTGCTATTGAGGTTATTACATGAAACATGTCTATTTCATTTGTATATTTCTAACAGTATGTACATTTTTTATTACAAAAGAAGGGGGATACCCACATATACTATATGTGCCTAGACCAAGGCTCAAACCTTAGACCTCCCACATAAGGGAGCAACTAGGGGTGTGCAAACTTCGGAGAATTTTCGGTTAACCGACAAAGTTCGGTTAACCATTTTTTAACCGAACTTTTTCGGTTCGGTTAATGGTTAAAGGAATTTCAAAACTTTGGTTAACGGTTAATTTGGTTCGAAAGGTCGGTTAACCAAATTAACCGAACGGTTAACCGAAATTTTTAATATATATATAAATAAATAAATATAAATAGTAAGTGCGTAATACTAATATCAAAATATAATGGACTATGGATATTTAGACTTTGAATTTTTGATTGAAGATTTGAAGTTAGGGATGCATTTACTATGATATGTATTGTATTTTAATTTGATTTATTATTTTAGGTGATTTTTAGAATTTTAAATTTTAGCTTTAAAAAGTTTGGTTAATCGGTTAATCGACTGATTAACCGAAAAAAAAATTCGGTTCGGTTAATTCGATAACACAAACTTCGGTTCGGTTAACGGTTAAAGGTTTAAAAAGTTCGGTTAATTCGGTTTGGTTAAAACGGTTCGGTTAACCGTTAATCAGTTACCGGAAAAAAAAAATCGATTCGGTTAATTCGGTAACACAAACTTCGGTTCGGTTAACGGTTAAAGGTTTAAAAAGTTCGGTTAATTCGGTTCGGTTAACCAAACGGTTAACCGATTAAACACCCCTAGGAGCAACCAGATACCAATGGACCACAAACCACTTGGTATGGTGTATGTGCATTAGACCTTAAAAAATGGGATTGTTATTTTATTCATTTCTCTTATAAATTCCGTGGAGAAAGTAAAATACTTTTAAAGTGAAATTTGATAAATGTATTATGATTTATGAGAAAAATTAAAATTCTTGTTACATGTTTTAATTTTATTCGAAGAAGAAGAAGAAAAAAAAAGTGATATATAATTATAGTAAAAAAAAAAGTATATATAATTGTTATAATTATTATACTTATGGTCATTAAAATGTAAAGACTCTTCATTAGCTTTTCATTGATTACATTATTTATGTTATGTAGTTGAATGGTTGTATGAACCATTATATAAATGGGTGAAAGCTAAATGATACAAAACACACTTACATGGTTGTAGTGCTCCATTGTGTTCTTCTCTTTCTCCCTTTTTATTGCTTTATTCTACACACATATACACATACATACAAACATCGGGCTATTACCGTGCAGACACCGCGAGACAACTAACGAGTTGATAGACCAAAATGTAACACGATATCAGCACGAATCGCCAACATATCCCTTGGTGAACGGTATGCTCAGACCTGTTACAGTACATGTTTTTATACTAGACAAGCATGTTCATAGAATTCATATAATACATGATTGATATGATACACATTGATTATGAAATTTGAAATATGAATTACACATTGGTTCGTATATACATAAGTTTGTGTAAATTCCTGAATATGTATTTCCAATTCTATATTCTACGAATTGAAAGAAATGTATGAACACGGTATATGCCCGATTGTCTTCCTAATATATCATATTATATTGTCTAGATAAGAATGATATTGCATATGTACGTATAGTTTGTATATGTATTTGCAAATTTTAGAATATGATTTTTCCAATTTTTTTTGCTTATGCTAATGAAATGTATGGCAAAATTGGGTGTTATATTTTGTTTTACTGCAAAATTGACATCTTATTTGGATAATAGCCATAGTTCCTGGAAAGAAGAACATTTTGCTTATTAGTTTAATTTGATTGGTTGTGGTATGACATACACTCTAATGATTAAAAGAAAAGAACCCACTGTTTTTGTATTATATATATATATATATATATATATATATATATATATATATATATATATATGCATGTGAATTCACTGGTTATTTTTCTCTTGCATATATGTGATAATATATTAAGAATATATATATTATCAAATTTTTGTGTCTGATTAGGCAATGAATGAATGACTAATTTTTTATTAAGTTTGTTAAAGTTTTTTTGGAAGCTTAAGAGTCATTAAGACTTTAAAGCTTATTTTGATGACTTGGGAGCATCGATGGTGCATTGGAGAGTGAAGCACCACTCGTTGCCTGTAGCACGAGTTGATGCCATAAACACGAGTCGATGCTTGCCGTATTGATTCGGTGTTTGCCGCGTCGGTTCCTGTTGCATCACTTTCGGTCTTTGTGTGTATTCGGAAGATGAGTTTATTTTTCAGATTTTATCTTTCAATTTCATCTCTTGAAGTTTGCTTTGCATCTAGAGATTCTTTTTTTTAATCCCTTATTTTGCTATGAACATGTGAAGTTATGAATATATATAAGAACATATGATATATGTTTTGTAGATCATGTCTTCTATCGCCAAAAGAGAATTTAATGAGCTCGGCGGCGACTTTTTGACTTGGGCTCTAGACATAGAGTTTCATCTCGTGTCTAAAGAACTAAGCCAAATCATTGTTTCCGAGTCACAGTGTAATAACGCCCAGAAAGCGCAGGCTCTAATTTTCTTACGTCACCACTTGAACCACGACCTGAAAAATGAATACTTGACTGAAAAGGACCCTTTTGCATTATGAAAGTCCCTGAGGGACTGTTTTGACCAGCAGTCATCGATTGTCCTCCCTCAAGCCCAATTTGACTGGCTTCACCTGAGGTTTTAGGACTATAAGTCAGTTATTGACTACAACTTGACCCTTCATAAGATAGTCTCGCAA